CATGATGATTCATAAAATGGAGTATTTTGAAAAATTGCAGACTTAATTGAGTCTCTGCTGCCATATAAGTCCTGTTCCAGGAATCCTACCAGTATAATGAATGTGCCATCAAGTGTATTTACTTTTTTCCTGGAATTTTTCCCTGACATTTTGAGACTGTGTCAAGAAAACAATAATACTGATGCTTTTAGTTATGAAGGCATATTAAAATAATGTGTGTTGTGTAAGTGTCCCTTTGCAAGATACTTTGTGGAGTCCACTCAATAAAGACACTGTAGAAACAAGTCATGATGACCCTGAATTCTATTTAGTACCAGAACAATTTGACTGGAATAAAGATAGCTCATGAAAATGGCTTTCATCTGAAAAGTACTAAGGAAGGAGTTCTAGGAAAAAAGATGGTTTTGTGTTCTGCAGTAAAAGAGTCACTAAGAGTAACTGATGGTTAATTTTCCCTTCAGTGGTATTATTTGGCTGAACAACTGGTAACAGTAGATTGCTCATGTTTAATGAGGGGCAGTTACTTGCTTTGTCATTTTTCAAGGCAGTCATCACAAACTAACACTTCTTTCCCTCACTCTAATCAGAGTTAAAACTGATTTCAAATTGGATTTTTGTAAATTAGCATTATTTATTTTGTATGTTGGTATTTCTGCCAGTGCTTTATTGAATAAGGACATTAGATCTTCTTGGAGGAATTGTCATGTGAAACTGGAGTATAATTGCCTGCTCCTGATCATTTTAGGATCCTGTGTCATTCTAAATGAATGTTGAGTTGTTAGCCTAATTTTTTTCATATAAAAACATCATAAGCAGTATTCTAGTTTTCCCTTCACTCAGACTTTGTTATTCTTTTAAATCTTTGCTATATAATATATCACTCTTTTGAGATGCTAAAAGCTGAAATAAGTTAATGTTTATGTATGGATTAAATACTTATATTCTTCAGAGTAACAAGTGTCACGCTGTATAATTCTGTAGCTATATTAAAGCAGGAATTAAGCTAATGCCAGAGCCACTGACCTTTTCCTACTGTTTATGTAGGAATTTAAGGATTAATTTCCTTGAATTAACTTATCATAGAAAAGATTCTGATACATGATTATCAATATGCTACTTTTCTCTGCAGGTGGTTTTCCGAGGAGGAGAAGGGGCTTTGCAAGTCCTACCTCCTCTGGTTGATGTTATTCCTGAGGCAAGACTGAATCTTGTGATTTACCATCTCCAGCAAGGTAAATACACCTTCCTCTGGCTCTTTCATAGCTTCAGGGATGAAATTAATTCATCTTATCTCAACTTATTCAATGCTTTTTTTCCTTTGCAGTAAAATGTAATTTATTTCACTTTCTGTTCCTCTGTAAAATAGTGAAGTATGAAAAAAAGTTCCAATGGCTTGCAGAGAAGGGCTTTAATACTGTGCACTCAAAAAAAGCCTACTTCAGCAAAGTATAGGAGGTTCTTGGGTTGCAGGAGATGGCTTTGAGGATGGTAGTGTTTATTTGTTTCTAGTGAGGGGACCTCTCCTCTGCCTGAATGTGAGAGAATGGTAGGCGTATGTCCTGTAAAGGCAAGGACAACCATTTCTGTAAATGCAGCACAAACAAAATATGAACCAAAGTGACTGTGAACAAGATATTTCATTAAAATCTACTTTACAATTCCTCAAGAATGCAGATAGGTAGCCAGAATCAGTTGCTAAGGATTTTCTACTTGTATCTCTCCTGTGTTTGCCAGCTTCTTTGAACTGTATCTGAGTTTTTCAGAGCTATTCCTATTCTCACATCGTGTTCTTTTATTCAACAGTGGGTTGATTGGCTGTGTGATTCAAGGCATGTCCAATTAGATCAGTTTGCTTAAAGCCATGTCCAGACAAGCATCCAGTCAGAACTTCCTCTGTTCTATTTGAGTCCACTGCCTTTCTCTCACTCCGTGGAACCTGTTTCCATATACTCTGTACCCTCCTATCAGTTAATTGTAGACAGTGATAAGATCTCCCCTGACATCCTTTCTCTGGAAGCTAAGCAAACTCAGTTCTCTCCGTTTCTGCTCAGCCATCTTCCTGCCTTGGGAGCCCTCAGTTGAGCTCACTCCAGTGTTTATGGTAGGATTCCAAATCTGAACACAGTATTCATGTGCAACCTCACAACTGCCAAATAAAGAATCCCTTCCCTTACCACAATGGCTCCATTTATGCTAATATTATCCAGTTGGCCTCCTTTGCTGCAAGGCTGCACTGTCTGCCAGATTGCCTTTTAGCCAGTCATCTCCCCACCTGACTTGCTCGGGCATGTTTCAAACCAAGCAAGACGCAAGACTTGCATTTTGCCTCCACTGAACTTCATCAGATTTCTTTTAGCCCATTTTTTCAGCCTATTGAGCTGCTTCTCAATATCTGGGAGCTTTCTTTACAATCTTTTATCATTTGCAGACTTGGTCAGAGTACTCTATGCTACCATCTGGATCATTAATAAAAACAAGTTATTCTACAGTTTTAATCCCTGGGGCATTCGATTAGTAATGAGCCACCTGTTGGATTTTGTATGACTGATCACTGTCCTTTGGTAGTGGTAATTCAGCCAGTTTTCCATGCCCTTATAGTTTTACTTATCTAGTCCTATCTTTCAAGTTTGTATGAGAGACCATGTCAAAGGCATTGCTAAAGTCAGGGTGTACAGCATCAACCATTATCCCCTTATTCACACAACCAATCATACCTTGAATTAATGAGTACATTTTGGCATTGGTAAATCCATGTCTGCTGTCTCCAGCCACCTTTCTTCTGTCCAGTATTATTTTGCCAGTGTCACTATAGGCAATATTGGTACCACTACCAATTATCTTGCACAATAATATTGTTGATAATAACATACATTTCAAATTAAGTTCTACTTACATGGAAACAAAGTGCATCCCATGCATCAGTTAAAAATCAGTCTTGTTTACTCATACGCTGTTAACCTTGCAGTAATTTTCATTAGTTGGGTTCTGCTCTTCACTGTGATAGACAAATGACTTACATACTGACAAAGAAGGTCCGGGAGAATTCAGACTTAAACCTCTTTTCTGGTTTGGCTTAGTTTCCATTTTTAAGTCTCACTAGGGTAGCAGCATTGGCTAGGAAAGTGAAAAATTCTTACTTCTTATGACTACAGCTGACACTTCAAAACTTAAAAGGTCTCTGATAAACGTTGGCTTGTGATAATATATCCTCTGAACTGGAATGACTGAAGCACAAACATGGACTCCCTTGTTTCAACTCTTCAGGGCAGTGATTTCTAACAGGGTTTGAGGTCAGTTGGTATTCTGCTGAAATCTGCTCCCATGAGATTTGCTTCTGTTGGAGCCTCAAGAGAATAGTTCTGTGTTGATGGTCTACACTCTGTTGATAAAAATAAGGGTTACTGTCATTTTTTTTTTTGGTGGTGGTAGTGGTGGTGGTGGTCTGAGCTAGCCAAAAATAGCAGAAAGAAAAGAAGAAGAAAAAAGAAAAACAAAAGTAATGACTTTTAGCTAGTACATTGTGCTGTCTTACTATGCGACTTTTCTAGGGAACAGTAAGAAAGCAGAGGTGATGGGTGGGAGCCTGACAGCTCCAGTGTATATTGCCTTAAGTGTCTACATGGATTGTATGTTCTAGTGAAAAAAAAATTTGTTTGATAAAGCTTATTTGTGTGGGCAATTAGTATAATCTGTACTAACAAAATTTTGCCAGTAACAGAGGATGTTCACTACGTTGGTTTACAAAGCCAACCATAGTGCCAACATCTTTTTTAATTTAGGTAAAGTTTAGGATCTATTCAGTTTATATAATTATTGTGTGGAAAGTAAGTTGTTTATAGATTTCAAACGCCACATTTAAACTTCCATACTAGCAGTGCTTTTTCCTTGTTAATTAGGGTCTGCTGGGCAGATGCTGAAATATTGCTAAGGAAAAGATGAAGTTTCCCTACAGCATTATGTTACCCTATTCTCTTTGAGGGCTAAATAAATATGAGAAAACAAAATACATGAAGATGATGGATTTAATATTTTGACCTTGTGCTGCTAAGAAGGCAGCCACTGGATTATGAACAAAGGGGCCAAACAATCTCTGCTAGGAAAACTGTAGTAAATTATGAAGCTATTACTCACTCTGAGCTTGTTATTTTAGTTCTAGAAAACTATCACCATTATACAGAAATTCACAGTGATTTATAGCTATCTTTCTCCTCCTGTCTAAATGGCTTATTTCTTAGTCTATGACTATTGGGGAATATTGTATAGGATGAGTGACTTGTTCTAATACAGCGTACTATGGATTGTCATGCATTCTGATGTCTGGCATTTCAGATGATGTGCAGGAGGCTTATAACCTGATTAAGGACCTGGAACCTACAGCTCCACAGGTAATTGGAAAATGGTGACATGGTGCATAAAGACAGAGGTTACAAACTGGTAGGAAACCTGCCACATACAAAACTGGTATCCTGAAGACAGCTTGCCCCATTCCCACTCTTAAAACTCATGTATTTTCATCCCTTCTCCATCAATTAATTTAATGTGCGTGCATAAAGTATGGCATATGGGCATATATGAATACGTAAGCTATTTATTACTGTACCACCTGGGTTCAGCAAAGAGTACAGCTCTGTTGTGTGCAGCCTTGCTTTTGGGAAATGGACCATTACTGTATAGGTAAAAGCCCCCTTACAGTTATAGCTGGTTGTCTGCCTCGTGGTGATTTCCTAGCTCAGATGCTCATATAGTTTGTCCTGAAGCCATTTCAATTAAAATGAGCTAAATTAAACAGTTTTAATAAATAGTATTTTCTAATCCCATCACACTTTGGCTGCCATGAGTGAAAACTGCCGTGTCCCTTGGCTGCTACTGTAATTTTCTTCTGTGGCAGTTCCAGCATCTTTAGTCTCTGATTTATTCCTCTTTGCTGTTTATTTTCCAAAGGTCACATAGTTGGGCATAAAAGAGACCTTTCATGAGTCTCTGTAAGATGGAGGGAGGG